ATGACGGACGTCGGGACCGTTTGAAGAAACAAATTACGGTCGGTAGACATTTCAAACAAATGAAATTATTAACGAAAGACGAGATTTTGCTAGGTATTTACGATCATACGGTCATACCAAATATATACAAAATTGACAAATACACAAAGAGGTGTAATAGTAGGTCATTTTTATTTTAGACTTAGAAATATTTTTTTTCACTCAGTCCACGTCCATGCGTGGGAATTCTATTTAGCTTCATGGTCCTTCGGCTTGTCTTCTGCTTGGGGGGAGGGGAACAACAATAATTATACAAATCGTAAACTCAACACAGTCAGGAAAAGAAACCCAGACAACCATGTTGTACTTCTGTTGAATACATTTTGGAGCAGTGCGTCACGTCGGAATATTGTCTAAAATAAAATATTCAATCCCAGCCAAATCTAGGTCAAAGGGTCAGATTGCGTGCATATAATTATAGATAGTTAAAACAAAAAGTATTTGAACTTTTGACGGTTGTTCAACATCTATGCACGGTTACTAAACTAGTAACCGTGATCTATGAAAACCAGAAAATTTTTAGTAGTCCGAATTGTTGCACGGTCGAAAATAAAACGGAAATTGACCGGTCAAAAGCGGAAGCGGTCAAGAGGTTTGGGGAAAATGAGTACAGTACTTCTTTGTTTGATGAAGCGATGCTGATGCCACATTGTCGCCATAATGAGGCCACAATGAAGCGAAGCGATAATCGCCTAACTTTTTAATGTCGCGACATTGAAGCGATGCTGAAGCCATAACAATGCCATAATGATGCGATGCTGAAGCGAAGGTGAAGCTGAAGTGAAGCCAAAGCTTCCGCGAGAACTGTACTGTACTTATTAAAATTCCAGAATTGAACAGATCACCACAAAATATTCAAACTTAATAGGGGTCAATCCAAAGAACATACATGTATGTATTGTACCTATTACAAGGAAATAGCGTCAATAGTATTTTCACCATAAGTGACACAAATATTTGCTGAAATTATAGAATATCTGAACCAAATGTTAAAATCTGAAAGAGGCCCACCCAAGGTACATACAAATCAAGAATCAAACCAATAAGAGCAGAAGTTTTCAAAGATTTCAAAAGGGCATTTTTCTCGAAAATGACAAAAATAGAGAATTGAAGATATTGTCACTAAATGAAAAAATCTGACAGAGATCCACCAAATGTACGTACATACGATGACAGCAGAGCTAAGAATGGATAATTTAGATCAGTATTTAGAATTAATTTGATCAGAAACTAACATTTAAACCTTAATAAAATGGGTAGTGACTATCAAATTTAACATACACCTCAGAAAAGCATGAAGGTTTTTCCTGCTGAAGTATTCAAATTTCATTCAAGAAACATTATCTGACTTATTTTAAGTTAAAAATACAAGAGATGAATGAAACTGTAAGTTGTAATATTAGTATTCCAGTGTCATGAACAAGCAGCACATGTGGAAATTAAACAGCAGTTAAAGAACCTCTCAAGCATACACCTCCTATTAAACCAATCAATGAACTAACGTAGAAGCATACATGTACCCTTGAAAACTATAAGTGCATCGACCAACACCCTCAAAATGGAAATAATCAGCCCAATAATTAGATAGACCATCTCTGTTGGCATGGAAACAGTTGTACAGATCACCACCTAAACATGAAATGGCATGTTATGTTACATTGATAATATAATTATACAACGATAGCTAACTAATGAATTAAATCCTGATTAATATTAAGCAAACACTATTCATTGTAACTGCATTATTTCACCATTCCATTCTTTGACACTTTCTGCTGACATTTAAGCTGTTTTCTAACCAAATCATTATTATCATGTATATGTCAAATTGTTATTGATTCACTAAAAATTAGAGGTATCATATATGAAACGGTTATTGATAGAAATGTTATATAGTTAACCAGTTGACACCAAGAAGGAATTAAATCCCATTCCTCCTAATATGAAATTGAATTCTTTCAAATTTGATAAGACAAGCTGAAAGTGATATTTTTTTTTCAAGACAATAACTTTAAAATAACCTAACAAAACAAGAATTAAATTTCATTCAAATAGCTAGCTTACCAGACACAGGGGGTTTACTGAGACCAAAATGACCACCAATCTATCATAAGATTGCAAACAATGTGCATAAATCAGAAATTACAATTTAAATATTTTTTGCAAAATAGGTATAGTTTTTGTGGTTCAAGGTTTTATGGCAGAATCAGCATGAGGAAGCTGTTTATTGAGGGCAACAACAATTTTACAAATTTAAAAACTATTTACTGGTACAACTAGTTACAAATTGAACGTACTTCAACTTTTTCTGTAATTTCTGAAAATTTCAGGGCTTCAACCCAACAATGCCCAACAATATTGCTATGGTGCCTATGGATATTACCTGTCTTATTTTTCTATATATGCTAATGTCAATTTATATCCAATTTGGCCTTGAAACTGGGTGCCCTCTTAACTCTGAAATTCAAGCCCTGAATCTTTCACCAAGTGGATATATACTAGAATGAGTAAACAACAAGATGCATCAGTGTTCTTCAATGCTTGTTACGCTGTATCTGAAAATGGGGTATAATCAATGGGGCCCTGGGGCGATACAGAAAATGATTGCAATACAGAAAAGGATTGCACTGCTTGAACTGTACATTGGATTCCCATATTTCAAGGTACATATATATATATGATAAGCTGCGATAATAAACAATGCGATTTTCATATACATGAGGTCACTATAATCTTGAATTTAGATTGATATATATGAAATTCACCATGAGTAGTTACTTGCAAAAAAGATATTGATGACTTTTCGTTTAACATCACATACCATTTGACTCCTGGAGCTTTTGACTGCAATATAGACAAGTAATTTATAATAAGATGATCAGCAAGGTAAAGCCATCAATAATTAATAAATGTAAACAGAATTAAAGATAGCTACTAAATGTCTACCTCAAGGATTCCTGGTGACTAAATAAAGTTAATATCATTGCATTTTATATATGATTGATAACTTTTCATTTAACATCACATACCATTTGAATCCTGGAGCGTTTGACTGACAAGTAATTTATAATAAGATAATCAGCAAGGTAAAGCCATCAATAATTAATAAATGTAAACAGAATTAAAGATAGCTACTAAATGTCTATCTCAAGGATTCCTGGTGACTAAATAAAGTTAATATCACTGGATTTTAGATATGAGTTTGCATCAACATGTAAGTGTGTAAATATTGACTGATTTATGGCACGCAGTCAACATTTGATACTACCAGGGTAATTATCAATAAGGTCTTGCAGGAATGATATTGCCTGGCTGGTTTTGACAATGACTTGGAAAGATTGATAAATTTGTATATGAATCAGTCAAGGCTTAGTATGCAAGACATGGCCATTTGTTTTTAGTCAAAAAGCTCAAATTCAGTTGAATCGGATCATTTGAGAAAATAATATTCCCACATGTAGGCATTGTAGGTGCTAATGTAAAACTGGTTTACATCTGTCTTCAATGATAATGTAGCACTGATTTTAGTTGTTAGATTGGGGATTCGTCTAGCTAACACTACAATTACATACATAATGGTGGACATACAATCAGTTATACACATACATATAGCTCTGCTTGGTTATCTTCTAGACAACAGAAATCAAATAGTAAACAAGCCATGCATGGCACAGTCCCCGTTAGTTATCAAATTTAAGATAAAAAGTTTTGTTTATAGTAATATAGCTGGAATATAAACATGTCAGGAATATGATGATTGTTTAACATTTAAATGATTGACATTTGTATCTGATCGTCAAATGAGTATTGAGAGATATTGCTCTGGAACAGCATTAATTAAAACAAAATCAGCCATTATGAATATATGTATAATGAATATATGAAATTTAAACATAGTCAGTCAAAGCATGTCAGAGATATGGCTCTAGAAGCCCATTCATTAAAACAAAATGGCCACTAGTCAGACATTCAGAATATGATCTAAAAAATAAAAAAAAGTTTTTTAGCACAAAAAATAACACTATTAGGCCACTTTGAAAAGAATCGTCAAACCAATATATCCGTATATCTGTGACATGATGTATAATGAATATTAATAATTTGAACATAATCAGTCAAAACAAGTCAGACATACGGGTCTGGAAACCCATTCATTAAAACAAAATGGCCACCGGACAGCCATTTTGAGTCTGATCTGAAAAATAAAATGACGTGCATCAGGAACCTGTAATTCTACGAACGGGGACTAATAAGGTCATCAAAGTAAATGTCTAAAGACTAAGTTCAATCAACCCCATTGATAATATACATACATGTACATTTGTGAGAGCTTCATCATGATTTGTTGCCTGCCCCAGGGATGGTGGTCATGACCACAGTACTGATGATGATCAATGGCAGACAGCAAATTGTAATATTGCCATATGAACATGTACAGGTTACTGTAAAATCTTTTAATTTCACTATTTTGATGTTTTGAGCATATTCACTGTGTTTTAATTTCACAAATTTGCCAAGAAAATAATGACTTTTATTGTTATTTTACATGTTCACGAAAATTTAATTTAGCGAATTTTACTGATTTACAGTATTCATTTTATCACATCGAAGTGTGTATTAAGTAGTCATAATGTGTTTCTCAATATCATTTGTTAAGGTTTTGGACAATCACTTGTAACAATAAGAGGTAATATTTAATGAAATATTTGCAATACAAGCATGAAATCCCTTGATGTTATAAAAACAGGTTTTAATTTAAATGTTTGCAAAAAATTATGATACTTTCACCACCAATGGCTAGAAATAATTTTAAAGCTTGTGTTATTATAAAAAAAATTAATCATTTGCAGAAATGTCATCCATCAAACATATGCAACACATGTGAAAACAGGATATACAACATGTAAAAACAGGATATATATAAGTCGTCAAAAATAGCATTTTTTACAAAAAATGACAAAAATATTTGCCAAAAATAGAGAATTGAAGATATCGTCACAAAATGAACAAATCTGACAGAGATCCACCCAAGGTACCTGCATATTAAGTATCAAAGCAATTGAGCTGGTAGTTTTAAAGAAAAAAATCGAAAATGCAATTTTTGATGGATGAACAATCGCCTATATGAACAGCTCCACTCTGTCATCTATGATGAAGAAAGCTAAAAACATGATATACAACAAATGATGTAACAATACATGTAGCAGTGCTTTATCCATATGAATGACAAAGTCAACTTTTATCACCATTCACAAAATAAAATATATTAAATTTTAAGTTTGAAAGTAAATTTTTAGCTTTAAAATGGCCACCATTCAAACATTTTAAAAAGGAAATTGACAAACAAATGGACAGTCTTGTGTATAGTAGAATGCATGATGAAGGGCAAAGTTTGCATGTGATTGGTCCAGGCATGTCCAAGGTTGAGTTAATCACAGAACTGAAAAGAACTGTCCAACTACAGGGATGAAGTGATGTCAACCAATATATCAACATCACAAAAGATTGATCCTGAGGTTAAACAAAACGTAGTCACAGAATCAAAAGAAATCAAGCATCCGATAATTTGAACATCAAACGTTTTCAGGTTTTTACCCACATGTGCATTATGTGACCTTAAATCTAATTTTGTTTTTGAACAATGAACACAAACCCATGTTTATATGTATATTTAGAACAAAACCCATGATTTGACGTTTAATCACATTCAAATCAAAATTGTTGGCTAGGCAGCGAAGTTTAACTGACTGCCATTCTGCAAAGCATTTATTTAATGCACTACAGCATGTTTTACTGATTGTTTTATATCAATCTATGAACTGCCATTTCAAATTTATAAATATTTACGTTTATGAATAATTTTAGTACGAAATACACAATGTAGAAAAAGAACATAGTCAATTAACAGTGAAAGTTATGATAATTTTAAAATAAGAAATTAGCACTGAGTTGACAAATATTTGCATTTTTGATAAATCAGGCTGAGCCACAAAGTGGTGCATTTTTGATAAATCAGGCTGAGCCACAAAGTGGTGCATTTTTGATAAATCAGGGTGAGCCACAAAGTGGTGCATATTTGATAAATCAGAGTGAGCCACAAAGTAGGGAATATTTGATAAATCAGAGTGAGCCACAAAGTGGGGCATATTTGATAAATCAGGGTGAGCCACAAAGTGGGGCATATTTGATAAATCAGAGTGAGCCACAAAGTGGGGCATATTTGATAAATCAGAGTGAGAAACAAGGTGGTACATATTTGATAAATCAGAGTGAGCCACAAAGTGGGGCATATTTGATAAATCAGAGTGAGAAACAAGGTGGTACATATTTGATAAATCAGAGTGAGCCACAAAGTAGGGAATATTTGATAAATCAGAGTGAGCCACAAAGTAGGGTATATTTGATAAATCAGAGTGAGCCACAAAGTGGTGCATTTTTGATAAATCAGGCTGAGCCACAAAGTGGTGCATATTTGATAAATCAGAGTGAGCCACAAAGTAGGGTATATTTGATAAATCAGAGTGAGCCACAAAGTGGTGCATTTTTGATAAATCAGGCTGAGCCACAAAGTGGTGCATATTTGATAAATCAGAGTGAGCCACAAAGTAGGGAATATTTGATAAATCAGAGTGAGCCACAAAGTGGGGCATATTTGATAAATCAGGGTGAGCCACAAAGTGGTGCATATTTGATAAATCAGAGTGAGCCACAAAGTGGGGCATATTTGATAAATCAGAGTGAGAAACAAGGTGGTACATATTTGATAAATCAGAGTGAGCCACAAAGTGGGGCATATTTGATAAATCAGAGTGAGAAACAAGGTGGTACATATTTGATAAATCAGAGTGAGCCACAAAGTAGGGAATATTTGATAAATCAGAGTGAGCCACAAAGTGGTGCATATTTGATAAATCAGAGTGAGCCACAAAGTGGGGCATATTTGATAAATCAGAGTGAGAAACAAGGTGGTACATATTTGATAAATCAGAGTGAGCAACACGGTGTGGCATATTTGATAAATCAGAGTGAGCCACAAAGTGGGGCATATTTGATAAATCAGAGTGAGCCACAAGGTGGGGCATATTTGATAAATCAGAGTGAGCCACAAAGAGGGGCATATTTGATAAATCAGGGTGAGAAACAAGGTGGTACATATTTGATAAATTAGGGTGAGCCACAAAGTGGTACATATTTGATAAATCAGAGTGAGCCACAAAGTGGTACATATTTGATAAATCAGAGTGAGCCACAAAGTGGGGCATATTTGATAAATCAGAGTGAACCACAAGGTGGTGCATATTTGATAAATCAGAGTGAGCCACAAAGTGGGGCATATTTGATAAATCAGAGTGAGCCACAAAGTGGGGCATATTTGATAAATCAGAGTGAACCACAAGGTGGTGCATATTTGATAATTTAAAATCAGAGTGAGCCACAAAGTGGGGCATATTTGATAAATCAGAGTGAGCCACAAAGTGGGGCGTATTTGATAAATCAGAGTGAGCCACAAAGTGGTACATATTTGATAAATCAGAGTGAGCCACAAAGTGGTACATATTTGATAAATCAGAGTGAGCCACAAAGTGGGGCATATTTGATTATATCACGCGGAGCCACAAAGTGGGGCATATTTGATAAATCAGAGTGAGCCACAAAGTGGTACATATTTGATAAATCAGAGTGAGCCACAAAGTGGGGCATATTTGATAAATCAGAGTGAGCCACAAAGTGGGGCATATTTGATAAATCAGAGTGAGCCACAAAGTGGGGAATATTTGATAAATCAGAGTGAGCCACAAAGTGGTACATATTTGATAAATCAGAGTGAGCCACAAAGTGGGGCATATTTGATTATATCACGCGGAGCCACAAAGTGGGGCATATTTGATAAATCAGAGTGAGCCACAAGGTGGTACATATTTGATAAATCAGAGTGAGCAACACGGTGGTACATATTTGATAAATCAGAGTGAGCCACAAAGTGGTGCATATTTGATAAATCAGAGTAAGCCACAAAGTGGTGCATATTTGATAAATCAGAGTGAGCCACAAAGTAGGGAATATTTGATAAATCAGAGTGAGCCACAAAGTGGGGCATATTTGATAAATCAGAGTGAGCCACAAAGTGGGGCATATTTGATAAATCAGAGTAAGCCACAAAGTGGTGCATATTTGATAAATCAGAGTGAGCCACAAAGTAGGGAATATTTGATAAATCAGAGTGAGCCACAAAGTGGGGCATATTTGATAAATCAGAGTGAGCCACAAAGTGGTACATATTTGATAAATCAGAGTGAGCCACAAAGTGGGGCATATTTGATAAATCAGAGTGAGCCACAAAGTGGTACATATTTGATAAATCAGGGAGAGTCACAAGGTGGTGCATATTTGATAAATGAGAGTGAACCACAAAGTGGTACATATTTGATAAATCAGGGAGAGTCACAAGGTGGTGCATATTTGATAAATGAGAGTGAGCCACAAAGTGGTGCATATTTGATAAATCAGAGTGAGCCACAAAGTGGTACATATTTGATAAATCAGGGAGAGTCACAAGGTGGTGCATATTTGATAAATCAGAGTGAGTCACAAAGTGGGGCATATTTGATAAATCAGAGTAAGCCACAAAGTGGTGCATATTTGATAAATCAGAGTGAGCCACAAAGTGGGGCATATTTGATAAATCAGAGTGAGCCACAAAGTGGTGCATATTTGATAAATCAGGGTGAGCCACAAGGTGGTACATATTTGATAAATCAGGGTGAGCCACAAAGTGGGGCATATTTGATAAATCAGAGTGAGCCACAAAGTGGTGCATATTTGATAAATCAGGGTGAGCCACAAAGTGGTACATATTTGATAAATCAGGGTGAGCCACAAAGTGGTACATATTTGATAAATCAGGGTGAGCCACAAAGTGGTACCTACATATTTGATAAATCAGGGTGAGCCACAAAGTGGTACATATTTGATAAATCAGGGTGAGAAACAAGGTGGTACATATTTGATAGATCAGGGTGAGAAACAAGGTGGTGCATATTTGATAAATTATGTATGTATATTTTCATGTATATTTTTAGAATTTCATTGTTAATGTCAGATAAAACGAACATAATTTACAGTTTTGAAAATAAAATGTAGCTATTTAATGGAAAATTTGACGTTGGATGCTGGATGCCAAACAACGATGACGATAAGGAAAATCTTCTAAAACAACAGTAATTTTTGATGACAGTTAAAAGGAGTTCATGAAATGGGTTCATTTATTTAATTCAGTTTATTTCTCTTGTCTGCAACTTAATTTGGCATTTTTGTTGTATTGTGTATTTTGTAATTATTATATATTGTGTTTTGTTTTAATAACATAAATCTTGCTGCAACAAATAAATGAATATAAGCCATGCATGGCACAGTCCCTGTTAGTTATCAAATTTAAGATATATAGTTTTGTTTATAGTAATATAGCTGGAATATAACCATGTCAGGAATATGATTTTTTAACATTAAAATGATTGACATTTGTATCTGATCGTCAAACAAGTACTTGTCCATATTAAGAGATATTGCTCTGGAACAGCATTCAAAATCAGCCATTTTGAATACAGGTATATATATAACATGATGTATAATGAATATATAAAATTTAAATATAATAAGTCAAAGCATTTAAGAGATATGGCTCTAGAAGCCCAGTTATTAAAACAAAATGGCCGCCAGTCAGCCATTTTGAATCCAATCTGAAAAAATAAATTGACGAGCATCAAGAACCCATAATGTCTAATGTATGTACCAAGTTTGAACGAAATCCACCCATAAATGCTTGATATTTGATGATTTTTTAGCACAAAAATTACCACCATTCGACCATTTTGAATAGGATAGTCAAACCAATATATCTGTTTATCTATGACATAATGTATAATGAATATTTAAAATTTGAAAATATTATCAGTCAAAACAAGTCGGAGATATTGGTCTAGAAGCCCATTCATTAAAACAAAATGGCCGCCAGACAGCCATTTTGAATCCGATCTGGAAAATAAATGATGTGTATTAGGAACCTATAATGTCTAACATATGTACCAAGTTTGAACAAAATCCATCCATAAATGCCAGAAATGCTTGATATTTGATGATGGTTTAAGCACAAAAAAAGCCACCATTTGGCCATTTTGAATAGGATCGTCAAACCAATATATCTGTCTATCTATGACATGATGTATAATGAATATTTAAAATTTGAACAAAATCAGTGAAAGCAAGTCAGAGATATGGCACAAGAACCACATTCAGTCAGGCATTTTGAATCTTATCTGAAAAACAAAATTATTTGCATCAAGGTCCCATAATGTCTAATGTATATACCAAGTTCGAACAAAATCCATCTGTAAACAGCTGAGAAATGCTTGATTTTGATGATTTTTAGCACAAAAATGGCCGCTATATGGCCATCTTGAATCAGATCGTGAAACAAATTGATGTGCATACGTATAATATCATGTATGATGTATGTATGAAGTTTGATTGCGATTGGTCCAGGCATTTCTAAGATACAGGTTCGGACGAACGCACAGACGCACGCACGCACGCACACACACACGCACGCACGCACGGATACACAGAGGTCAAAACATAAGTCCCCGTTTTCGGACTGCGTCCCAACGGGGACTAATTATTAAAAAAAACATTGTTTTTATAAAATTTGAAAGCGTCTTAAATGATGGCTACAAATGTATGTGCTTTTAAACTTAATTTATTGTAAAGTCTATATAAGCACACAGACACACAGCGGAGAACTTTAATACAATGTACTTAGGTGGCCTAAGTCAATGATCTGCCTCAAAAAGAGTAGATCTAATATATAGAATAACCAATGCCATATGGCACATATTAGTGGTATTAATTCTCTAATTTAATTTTCATTTTCCTATCATAACACATAGCTAAGGTTACACTGAATTGTCCCGCCTATTGCCATGAGATGCAGTGGAAATGATTCAGTCCCAAATGTTTGCAGATATTCAGCAAATTTTAAGATAAGAGATGCTCTTTGTAGATGCACAACTATAACTAAAAAAAAGAAATGTTATATTTTCTGTGTAGTGCCACAGTTGTCGTTGGACATGGGACCTACATCATGTCATGACAACTAAAATAAAGTGTTTGTTTTCATTCTATTCAATAGGCTATTCTGATGATGATGATGATGATGATGGTGATGATGGCTCAGGAACCATTCACAGCACAACTTTTCCGAATGTCGAAGATATTTTGGGAGCTACTTTAGTGTTTATTAAACTACAACATTTATAGCTACACAACAAGACAAAAATAGGGTGTGATACGAAAAGCTGACATGAAAAAGGGTGAGGGTAACAATTGAAAACACACAATGAATGAAACATAGACGGAAATGACAAACTGGTTGAAATGAATTGTTATAAACATCTTGAAAACTACATGCATAGAAAAAAAATGTTTTAACTGCAAGCAAACAAACTCTATACTGCTATCCAACCAAACTGACAATGTCAATACAAATTTAAAGCTTAATTTAGCATAGTGATAAATTGTGGCAG